ACACGGTAAACATCTTCTTCACATTGCTTTCTTGTGGTGTTTAATGGTCTCTCTTAACTTTTTTTCATGGTTTATTTTTCATCTTTTGTTTTTCTTCTAAACTTCAGAAGCTACTGCTGAACCAAAGGAAGAAATTGCTCAGAAAGGGCTTTGGCGTTGTGCAATTTGTACATATGACAATGATGAGGGTTTGTTTGTGTGTGATATTTGCGGTGTTCTTCGTAATCCTGTGGCTGGAAATCAAACTATCAATAAGAATACAGGTACTCTTTCTTCTCTCCTCCAATCAGTAGTAGATCTCTGTGTAGGGTACATGAGTTATTGCATTCTGTCTGTTTTGTTTTTGGAGGTCACTTGATTAAGCTATTGGTATATGTTTGGTAAAAGCAGTGACTGTAGCTTTTATACTTGTGATTTTGCTATTCTAGGTGTTTAATTATAGAATAGATGTGTTTTACGCAGTTGAAGGCAGATGCAAAGAATCCGTGGTATCCAAATTGGCAAAGTCCCTTTTTCAATCAGTCCCATCTAATACACCGAAAAGGGCTGTCATTTATCTGCCTGAGCACAAGAATCTTGTGATGGAACAGGGACCTCTGCCTGGAAATTTCCGTGGGAATATTCATGATCTCCAGAAGGCTTTTAGCTCTAAAAATTCCTGCGTTAGTATAGGTTGTGAACTTGTTGTAGTTTGATAGCGTTTTCTGTTTTCAGTTATCCTCATAAGCTGTTCATGTTAAGAGTCTATAGTTGGTTCTATGCGTTTGTGGCGTTGCGAATGCTTTATTCTGACATTTCCTTTTTAACTTATGTATAGCACCTTTCAAGTTTGATGCTCCATCGCCAGATGATTTAGTTATCAATGGACTAACATCCTCGAAAACTGGTCCAAAAGGTATCCACATATGGTTTTCACTTTGAGTTTGATTCTGTACGGATTAGATGCTGGAAACCTTATGCCATAATGATCTCTCTTCTCATTGAATCCATCTTGTTGTTTTCTCGCTGGAATTCGACCTATATGATATATTTTGAAAATCTTTATGGGTTGAGTAACTAGAAATATTCTTGAAGCTAATGTTGATACAACCATACAAATGGCAGGTGATGCTAGCATGAGGCAGAAAGAGAAGCAAGATAGCACAGAACAGAAACCATTAAAGAAAGGAGGAGATAGTTCAGAAACAAGCTCCCGAGGTAGACGTGATAACGTTGATAATAGTTTTTCAAAGGGCGGTGCTGGTGGCATAAAATCGGGCAGAAGTTTGCCAAAAGCAAAAGCAGATATGTCCAGTGAGACAAGTTCTTCATCCAAAAATATGGAGGCGTCGGAGAGTCTCACTGGTACTATGAACAAAATGTCCTTGACTGGGGAAACAGAAATCCCCATCGATATTAAAACTAGAAGACCAATATCAAAATCTAAGCATAAGCCAGAGGAGTGGATGCTTCTTGATAAAGAATCAGATACACTAAGTCAACTTAATCTTGCTATTGTAAGTTTCTTGGATTCTGGTGACATTTACTGATTTTTGTCCAGGCAGACTACTGATGGTTGCAAACTGATTGTAGGTGGGGCATGTTGATTCTGGTAAGTCAACACTTTCGGGTAGATTACTGCATCTATTGGGAAGAATATCTCAGAAGCAAATACACAAGAATGAGAAAGAAGCAAAGTTGCAGGTAACCTGTTTTTTGTTTGGTTGTTAGACATTCGAATATGCAGAATTCTGCTCTGTTTGCGTGACATTGTGTTTCTGATCATTTTCAGGGCAAAGGGTCCTTTGCATATGCATGGGCATTGGACGAGAGTGCTGAAGAGAGGGAACGAGGAATAACGATGACTGTGGCTGTTGCTTATTTCAATTCCAAAAGACATCATGTTGTTTTACTCGACTCTCCTGGACACAAAGATTTTGTTCCAAATATGATAGCTGGAGCAACACAAGCAGATGCTGCTGTTCTTGTCATAGATGCATCTATTGGTGCCTTTGAAGCTGGTTTTGATAATTTGAAAGGCCAGACAAGGGAGCATGCACGGGTTCTTAGAGGTTTTGGCGTCGAACAAGTCATAGTTGCAGTCAACAAAATGGATATTGTTGGCTATTCGAAGGACAGATTTGAATTGATTAAGCAGCATGTTGGATCTTTTTTGCATTCCTGTCGTTTTAAAGATCCGTCTCTGACATGGATTCCATTAAGTGCCATTGAAAACCAAAACTTGGTGTCAGCTCCCTCTGACAACCGCCTATCCTCATGGTATGTTCCCGTTTTTTCCTTTCCCGATACCTGACCTTGCATTTCTGATACAGTTAGCAGGTAAATTGCTTAGCATACCTGAAACAGACCATGGTTAATTGTTTTCTGAAATGAAATACAGGTATCAAGGTCCATGTTTATTGGATGCTGTTGACTCTGTCAAGTCTCCTGATAGAGACGTCTCAAAGCCTCTACTCATGCCTATATGTGACGTTGTAAGATCAACTTCACAAGGGCAGGTATCTGCATGTGGCAAACTTGAAGCTGGAGCGATTCGGCCAGGATCCAAGGTACACAATAGAAAATTTCCTTCTTAGTTGGTTGCATGATTTGTGATTTTCTATCTGTCTACCTGAAAAAAGCCTTAGGATACAATGTACTTATGGTTAAACCTAACTCTCATTCCCATTTCTAAAATCGCTTGACCTAAACCCATGATTGAATTTCCACGGTTCATTGATCGCTCGATAGCTTTCAGTCAAAATACTTTCTTATGGATGTGCATTTAGTTACTTGTTTAAGAAAACGAATAAAACTGGTTTAACTGATGGCTTGCATTACTGGAACTTTCTGCTAGATAATGGTTATGCCATCGGGAGATCAAGGAACCGTGCGGTCCCTGGAGCGTGACTCTCAGGCTTGCACCATTGCAAGAGCTGGAGACAACGTAGCAATAGCTTTGCAAGGGATCGACGCAAATCAAGTAATGGCAGGAGGTGTGTTGTGTCATCCTGATTACCCGGTTTCAGTAGCAACTCATTTGGAATTGATGGTGCTTGTCTTGGAAGGCGCATCCCCGATCTTGCTCGGTTCTCAGGTTTAACAAAAACACCATATTTCTTTTGCTCAATCACTACTATTCTTCCCATGTTTTCTGATCCTTTATTCATATGAAAAATGAAATCATTATAGTTGGAGTTTCATATGCATCATGCAAAAGAAGCAGCAACAGTTGTGAAGCTTGTGGCAATGCTTGACCCCAAAACAGGGGAGGCAACAAAAAAGTCTCCTCGTTGTCTAACTGCTAAACAAAGTGCAATGCTTGAGGTGAAATGAAATCTCTGACTTTTGCATGAACCATTACAAAAAAAAAAGATTCGATCTGACGATGTTTTGGTGTGTAATTACAGGTGAGTCTTGAATATCCAGTTTGTGTGGAGACATTTTCTGAAAGTAGAGCTCTAGGAAGAGTGTTCCTTAGATCATCGGGAAGAACAGTCGCTATGGGTAAAGTTACTCGGATTATCCAAGACTCATAAAAAATCCTCTTTTGTTGTAGAATTTTTACTTGTTCATTAGAAATTGAGTCGTCCAAAGTTTTGTCTGCAATACATATTAGGAAATATCCTAAAATAGTTTGCAAAACTAAATTCAATGTGTAATTTTATGTATCCAAATTTTGTCCTTAAGAAGTCACAATAATGTTTTTCCTTAAAAGATAAAAATTATTTTGTTGTCTTTTATTTTTTCCCGTGAAAACGAACATATAATGCTATGGTAATTGTAACAGTTTTATAGAAAATGACATTATATTATTTCATTGGGAAATTAGGCTCAATAGCTATAAAAAAAAAATTATAACTCAATAAATAACCAATTCTCCTAAATCTAATGGCCACAATATTGCCACATATGCCATTTTTCTTAAATTTTGAATTATAATTTTTTTTTTTTGGTTATTCACCAAATTGACCTTATTTTATTTCCTTAAGTTAATAGGTTATATATAAACCAAATCCAAAAATGAAGTCCGTAAGATTTTTATTCAATTTAAGGTTTTTTTGTCTAACAATGTAATACAATACACATTGTATTATTTCTGTTTGAGAGATTTGACCTCTAATTTATATAAATTTTTCAATTATATCGTCACAATAAATTTGATACATATTTTTTTTATTAATTCTCTTGAGCAATTCAATAGAGACAGTGTCATTTTAGTATTTCCGTAAGATATAACAAGTTGAGGAGTATGCAGAGTGTAAAGTGTTTTGAGGTTCAAATCAAAAGTTGAGCTTTTTGATACAAGTGGAGAAAGAAATTGTCACCGGATCTTATTTGGCCATTTATATACCCCAATTGGGTCAAAAGAAAAGAAAAAATGTATTATGTACAAAAGAAAGAGAGAGTGAGAGCAAGATGATGTAGAGACAAACACTTGGTGAAGAAGAAGAAGCATTGTATCTGCATCATCTTGGAATCATCTCACAAAGCTAAAGTTGGGCGTGGCATTTTATCACTAAATCGACTTCCCCTCTTCCGCAGAGGTTTTGCAGATAGGGCACCAATTCTTCATCCGTAACCATTGTTGAACACAGCTCACATGGTACATATGTTGACATTGCATAGTCCCTACTTCATCTCCATCAACATACTCTTCCTGCATTTATATATCTATCAACATTTAATACTACATTGTCTTATTTCAGCTCAGATTTTAGACAAACCAATGGATTCTTTCTAGTTTGGTGTAGAAAGTAGAGAGAAGATAGAGAAACAAACGAGACCTGGCAAATACTGCACTTGATATCGTCATCCTTATTGAGAGAAATGGAACCGGTTTCATCTGTCTGCTGATAAATGCTTTTCTCCAGGCTTCTCGAGAGTGCTTCCTCGCTTAGAGCTGTGCTCACCGTACCCATTTTATCCCCCAATGCTAATAGTTCCTGCAAGATTCGTGTTCATATGATTTTAGCTTTATGATTTTCAATGTTGAGCTAAAATGTGTGCTTCTTCCATATATTGGTTAATACGGGCCCAAGATGTAAAACATGCAAAACTGACCTCATATGACATGTTATCAATGTCAAGCCTCATATCCCTGTGCTGATCGTAGAATCTGATCATACCACTTGAGAATAGATTCGTCTCTAAAGAAGCCAGTTGCTGCAGGAAAAGAAGCAGACCAGAGAGTAGAAACGTCAGAAACACTCTAAGCGCAGACAAAACATGTTCATATTAAAATAACAAGCTGCTAATTACTTCGAATGTAAGCTCTTGATCATGTTCAATTCTTTCCAGGGCCAACAATACCTGAAACATATTTTAAAATTGTGTTTCAATGACCCGGGAACATGTCAAAGCTACTAATGAAATCAGACATCAAGGTGACGGAAACTACCTCGGCAATTCCATTCATGTTGTAGCGACTTAAGCCATCCAGGTTCACCAAAGGGCGTGAAGGATCAGCTTCCGAGGGGCTACCAGGCATCATGCTACGTAACCGGCCAGTACTACTGTTTGGCCTGCTGTAACGATTTGATGGACTAAATGAACGAGAAGGATTGGAATCGGTTGGTGTTGCAGGATGAGGCGTTTGAAGAGAAGTAGCAGGGGATGCGACACTTTCAAGTCGCCCTGATCTACCAAAACAACCAGATCTCCTACCACTACTTGAAACAACACTGTTGTCCCTAATAGTTGGTACTATTCGATTCCTTCTATTATCAGAAACTGTGATGCCATTGCCATGAGAAGAACTTTGATTCCTTCCCTTCAGCACAGACCCACTAGTCTTATTGGCTTTGCTAGAGGAGCTGCCCTCTCCATCAGTGTTTTTCAATTTAGTCACGCTGATTTTCTTTGTCGAGCTTGAGTTAGTTGGAAGAACATTAGACACAGAGTTGCAGCTCAAGTTCCTCAATCCATGCCTACTGAGACCACCTCTTACAGTGTGCCCACTGTTACCAGAAGATAAAGAAACAGAAGGACCCACAAGAGCATCTTGAGTGCCCGAGTCAGATTTCTGATGACTACTTTTGCTGGTTCCTCTACTTGAGCTTCCTACCCTTTTCATAAAGCCTTCTCCAGAGACTGCGCTTTGAGAATGAACATTGATTGTGCTTCTGTTAGGCTTTCGGCGTGGAAGGGTGGTCTCTGCTGTTGCTGGATTATCATGACTACTGCTCGTCTCTGAAGAATCTGTGTCCAAATTAGATGACGTCTGTCTCCTTTCAGTAGCTTTGGCTGGTTTTCTTAAGTATCGAAATCCACCCGGAGTTTGAGATGAACTCCCAACAATTTCCTTTCCATTTGAGGCAAACCAAATCGGAGGCCGAGCAATTTTCGTATTGTTATCCGTAGAGCCAATCCGGGTTCCTTTCGTGGAAGATACCTTAGCACTACAACCAACTCGGCTGCAGAAAGGGGCATTCTTTTCATCTTTCTTGTTCATATTCTCACGCAGAACAGGACCACCTGCTTTTCGAAGCACAACCATCCGGTCAATTGAACGTTTACCCGTACATCCATCCATGAATCAAAAGAAACCCTTTCTCTGCAGACAAAACAAACAATAATCCAGATATCTGGTTAAAAGTGCATCCAGCCTGAGAGCTAATATCAAATAGAATATTCACCAACAACAAACCAAAATCTATATAAATAATATAAACAAACACAGCTTCAATTAAAGTCATCAAAGCTTTAAAGATAAACTTCCACCAAATCAAAAGCAAAGTCCTTTTAAAGTTAAAGCATCACAGAGAGAAGAAGAACAGATT